AAACACCTGCCTGAAAGTGTTGCCAAATGGCAGCCAAATTAACAACTGGTTGGCAATAGCCGAACTCGGGGCTTACACAATGAAGCTGGAAGCTGAAACAGAAGCTAAAGTCAAAGCTAAGTCGATGCTGAGGCTATGGAAAATAGCTGGAGCCGAGCTCCGAATTTCTGGCACGCATAAATAACACATTTTTCGGGGCAAAATGCTAAAGACATTTTCGCCAAAAATGCCAAGACGGACACGGACAACAAAAGACGCGCCAGCAAGAAGACTTGCCAAGAAAAATAAAAGTAAAATGCCCGCACGTCTTTGGAGTGGCTTGCGATTTTATTTCTATTTCTTTTTAGTTTTTTGGCTTTTTCTCTTTCTTTTTCGGCTTTATTTTATTATTTGTTATTTTACTTAATTTTTTTTTCTTATTTTTTTCGTTTCGTTTTGGAGCAACTTGAGCGGTTTGGGCATGGCCACAACGAGTGTCTCAACTTATTTTTGGCTTTTTCAAAGGCAAAGACACACACACACAGTCGCAGAGATACGAGTAAGTGAGACATGTTTGCCCACATTCAAATCATTTTTTTCAAGGTTAGGTTTTGCCGCCGTTTTGCTTCCCGCATTTCAAGTCAACAATTGTAGTTTTTTTTTTATTTTTGGAAGCTCAAGTACTCGTCAGCGTGACTCTCGAGTTAATTACTGGCAACTAACTCGAAATTGATTTCAAGAATCAACTGATAAAGCCCGATTCAAACCGATCCGAGCCTGAGTTCCAGCTAAGGTCAAACTTCACCTCGAGTTGTCGTGCTTGTCTAGTGCTTTTTGTGGGCTTCTGTCCACTTTGAATAATCATTATGCCTGGCATTGAACTGAATTCATAGCTGGCTGTGCGTAGTGTGTATGTGTGTGGTGTGTGTGGTGTGTGTTTGCTGTGAGTGGGTTTGGTTTTCAGCGATTAGCAAATATTTATGGAAAAGTGTAACCAATTCCAAGTCGATAAAAGGGAGAACACCGAAGGCGACCTTGAAATGCTAGATAAACGCCACACTCATTGACAAGACGTTAATTGCCATTGCTGTGTTGCCTAATATTAATATAGGAATATTACGCATACGCAGTGTAAGCTCCTGGCAAATAGCAAATGAGATAAACCCTATAATTACCAATGCACACGCTAATTACCAAGGTCAACACGGGAAAAGAGAGCGAGAGAGAAGCCAGCTCAGGTGCAAAAGATACTAAGATACTAGGGTACTAAGGTACTGTGAGAGATATCATCTAGGGGGGGAGGGCACGTACAGAAGCTGGCTGGCTGGAGCTGAAACGATGGCTGGTGCTGAAGCTGATGCTGCTGCTGATGCTGGTGGATGAGCTGATGCCCCAGCTGCTGTGGGCTCGTACTCAGATCCTGCTGCATGCTGGACGTCGACGTTGTTCTGGCAAACAACATGCTGCTGCCAACTGCGCGGGAGTTGTGTGTGTTGTATTTTTTATGGATTTCAAATTCAAAAGGCAAGCGATTGCCAGCGAGCGAGCGCACGAAACGAACGACAAAACCGCACTGAAGAATTCCAAAGACGGGGCCCAGACTCAAGCATAGAGTTTGGAGAAGAGAGTAGCGCCGGAGAATTGGAGAGCGGGCCGGAGAGCCGCTACAGCTGCAGAGAGGAGAGTCAACGCTGCGGCGTTATGTGAGTCAGCACGATCATGGGCAGATGATGATATAGCCTGTCTGTGTGCGTATGATCTAATGCTGCCCCTGCTGCTGATTGCCTCACATCATTCCATGTCACTCGGTTCATTATCAGAGAAAAGAAGCAATAGCAAAAGGGAACCTCAAAAAGAGACATAGGGAAAGAGAGAGAGAGAGAGAGAGAGAGGAAGAGAGGAAAAGGGAGCGTGTGTCGAAAATAGAAACTGCTGTGGCAACATGTGATACCGAAACGGAGCCAACGTGATAAGCCAGCGGCGGAAAGAGTGAACGTGTCACGTTTTTCAGTCAGAAATCCAAAATCGGATTGGCCAAACAATGAGTAAATGAAATAGCCGAGTTAGTTAAGCTATTCATAAGAAAGAAATCTTGGTATACACTGCGTATGCTTAATATGGCAGCTGCCAACCTGGCGTATGCGTAATTTAACAGTAGAGAAGAAGCCTCCCCCAGTGATGACCCAATTATCCAGATTGGCCTAACCTGCTCCCTTTAGTACCTTCTTTTTTGTGGCCTAATCACTGGCCCTAAAAGAAAGCCACTCGAGTTATTAGTAGGCCACTCGAGAGGCTGTGCAAGTGCAACAACACACACACACCTACATAGCACCGATGGCCACTTGAGTGGCAACAACAATGGTGCATAAAACTAAGAATAAGGTAACCCAAAAACACAGGCCAAACACAGGCCACACACATGCAGGGACAGAGAGAGATACAGGCTCTGATTGTGGCCAAAACATAGAGGAAGAGGAGAGAGAGAATGGGGGGAGAAAGAGCAGCCCTGAGGCAGTAAACGCACTTGAGATTCGGCCAGGCAACAGACGTTGCAGCAGAAGCTGTAGCTGGCCAAAAGCCCACCCAGCTTATGCAGGGCAGCAGGCTTCACTCAAGGACGTTCCTCTGGCACTTGGCTCATGTGGCTGAGGCTGTAGCTCCGGCTGCTGTGGCGGCTGCAATGGCGCCAAATGCTGCAGTGCAGGCCTCCACGATTCTCACCACTGCGCAGGACCTTTTTCCTAGGCAAACACGAACAGGGACACGACCACGGACACGGACACGAGTACACGCACACACTTCGCACACCCGCATTGTCATCAAAGTAGGTCAACCGTTTGCCATGCTGTCAACGAGAGCAGCAGCACCACCAGCTCACGTTGCTCTCGCCCGGAGAGCAGCAGCTGCGTTAGTTTTGGCTCTCGCATCATGGAACACCCCCGCACAGCAGCAGCAGCTTGCTAGCATTGATTACATAAGCCCCCAGACCGAGGCCCAGAACGAGTAGCACCATACCAGGTCCCAGGACCGACAGGTTGACCCACCAACCACCCCACTTTTACTGCATTTCCTTTGCAGCAGCAGCAGCAGCACCGACTGACGCACTCGGACCCAAACCCTAACCAGCCCTGACAGCCATAAATAACAATGAAAACTGAGAAAAAAAAAATTACTTATACATATATAAGAGAGCAGAAAAAAAAACAGTGAAAACCAAATAAATAACCAACAAATGAGCGACTGTCGAGGCAGCTAAGCAAATAAATTGTTTGAAAACTAATAAATAACGTGTGTAAATACCCAAACCGAACGCATATGACCGGCCGAGACACAATGGCTTCAATGGTGGCTAATTAATAACAAATGCCCAGCTGAGCACATATCTATAATATCCAACTAAATGGGAGTGCAGCAGCCGAACAGCTGATAAAACGGTCTCATTTCAAAAGACAAACACGAATTTGTTACCAAAAAACTAAACCATAAATTGGTGGCTTGGAAAACAGAGTCACGAATTATAATAATAATAACAATAATAAATTCATATTTATCTATCTAAAAAAACTTGAACTTACGCAAACAGAATTTCCGCATTCCAACTCGATACAAACTTAAGAATTTTGATGCAACAAAACATTAGGGAATGTGACTATGTACTTATTGCATTAATTTGGGATGAGTTTCCTTTTCTTTTTTTTTTTGTTTTCTCGATTTATGTTGGTGTATATTCTGTGTGATACGTATTACTCGATGCCTGCTGTGTGCGAAATTTAAACTGCCCTGTCAACTCGGGTTTCTCAGTTCAAAATTTTTGAAAACTTCCACTTCCAATTGGTCTGAGCAATTAAGAAATTCGAAAAGCTTCGACTTTGGTATCTGAGTATCAAAAGCGGCTATAGCATTTACACCTTTGCTATTTTGGTGGCTATGACGACAGGTACTTCGATTGCGTCGCTCGCTGGCTCGCTCACCTTGGAGCTGCCAGCTGGTTTCGAGCCAAGCAAATCATGCAAAGCAACTAGTTAATAGCTGGACGCCAAAGCTAGCATTTGGATTTGGGTTTTCGTTTTTGGGTTTGGCAATGGACAAAGCTTCTTCATCTCCATATGAATGGCAGTGGTGGTGGTGACCCACTCACCCAGCTAAGGGGCATCCATCAGCTGTCCCGTCAAATGCCCAGAGAGCTCAGGGCCGGTCTAGCACTTGTATCTAATTGCAGGCCATTGATGAGCTAAAACTGAAACTGAAACCGAAACCGAAACCGAGGCTGCTGCTGCTGCAGGATTGCAACTGGAGGTCGCTGCAAAAATGGGTCAAACTGGGCCCAACTGGGCCCTGTCTGGGCAACCAAATCCTGCGCAAAGGACCACATGCCAGTAGTTGTCATATACGGATGGGTCCTCGGGGCGTATACGCCATATCTCTATCTCTGGCTTAATTACAAATCAAAGTCTGTCCGTCCGTCTGCTTGACTGTCTGTGTGTCGGTTACAAAACTGACATCGAACGTATTGGGGGCAAACTGCAAATGAATTTCTCGTGCTGATTAATTGAAAACTTAACACACACAAAGACAACAAGAAGCAAACGAAATCATAGATACTATATAGTGAGAAAGAGGAGGGGTATTGCAGTGACAACAACAACGACAGTGACTATATAACAAAGAAGGGCAGGAATACGGAACGGAACGGTACGGAAAAGCACGTCACGATCGGCAAAAAGTTAGGCAAATAAATTGTATGAGTTATTTATACGGCTCGCAGATAAAGATAGATAACGAACGAGAGATAGATAGACAGATAGAGCAGGATAGAGAGATAGGAAGACAGAGAGGAAGAGCGCGATATAATGGTAAATGCAAGAGCGATTGACAATATTCTTCTTAAACTGTTACTCCAATTTTTTAACTGCTTTCGAAATGAATTTGGATTATGAATTCTTTTACATTTTTTTTTTTTTTTTTTTTTGATTCTGAATTTGGATTTTGATTTTTGGATTGATTTGATTTGGTCAACTTACCGGAACTGAAATGTGAGCGTTTAGTTTGTTCATTTTCCGGATCGGAATCGAGTGGCCTTTTGCGTGAATCGCCGATTTCAGGACTTGGACATGTCTCCATGGTAGCGTCTTCGGCCATTTTTAACTGAATGTTGCTGGTTTTGGTTATCGACTTTGACTGATGATTTGCTTTAGCTAAGGCTATAGCTTATGCTTATGCTTTTGCTTATGTTTTTGCTTTTGCTTTTGCTTTGCTTTGGGTTTCTGTTACGGTTTACTGTTCTGTTTTCTGAGTCTCGTTGGAGTTGAGTAGCCTTTGAATTGGATTGGATTTTGAATTGAATTGGTTTGGAGTTCGATTTGATTCGATTTTTATTTTTTGGTTAAACAAGAGTTCGATGTTTGGTAATGAGGCGTCTGTTTAGCTTGGTTTTATTTGGCTTTTGGCTTGATTGGTATTGTTTTGGTTTGATAGATAGAGCGAGAGCGAGAGCGAGCGGGCGATCGTCAGTAACTGTTTAGTACTCCTACTCGTCCTTGTCCTGGTCCAAGTCCTCGTCCTTGTCCTTGTCCAATGAATGCGATGCTGTGCGATGCGATGCGATGCGATGCCTTATCGGGGTGGATCCTCAGCGGGCATCTGAGATATAGAGAGAGAGTGTGATGGGCTATGCGGATGAGGTCCTTTGGTCCTTGCTATCGATCGCTCCCAAAATATGCCTCACAGATTTTAATCTATATTTATTCACGATCCTTCTAGATTTGCAATGTTTTTTCTATTTCATATTTTTGTTATTGGTTTATTTTTGTGGTTTTGTGGTGGAATGTGCGATTTTTGTTTTTAACGTTTATATGAAAAAAAGAAAAAGAAAAAAATATTTATGAGTGAATTATGCAGCAATAATAAATATACATACATACAGTAAACATTTAGGCAATATATAGGTATGTAATTCGGCATTAAACTGGTAAGTAAGATATAGATACAGTTGTCAGAGTGGCAATATGCATTTCTCGATTTGTAGTAAAAGTAGTAGTAAAACACACACACAGGTGAGCAACATTTAAATAGATACAAAACATTTCCTTGTTCGACTTGAGAAAGGATGCTATTTACAAAATGAGCGAGGCATTTTGCGGGTGGAAATTCAGGGAAATTCTTCTAAAAAAGCGCAGGGTTTCATGTGTATTTGTGTGTGTGTAAAAGGCATTCACATTCATCAAAAACTTGAGAAGGAGGGCAGGCAAATGAGTTGTCGAGTTGGGGTATTGAATTGGATTGGCTTTGATATAGATAGTTTGAATCAAGCTTGTGAATGGATGGAAAGCAGACGACAGTAGCATGAATTATAGGAATCCATAGAAATGTTTATTGGATGGCAGGGTCCCCTATAAGAAAGGATCCCATATGGGCGAGAATGCGGTTAGAAAGGCTGAGAAATCTCTGCGCACTCCAACTAAATATATGTATATACGATTTACAAGCAATATCTTAATTAAAGCTAACATATCTCTACTTATAAGTAATAGTATTTATTTGCTTTATTCCGCACTTTTAGGTTGAAAAGTTCAATTTTTTTCGGAAATATCTTAACTAACGAAAATCACTGATATGATTACAGAAAATATTGATATATCAATTGACATTACTTTGTTTTAAAAAGAGTGGAGCTTGTTGTTGAGTTTATAGTTTTCTTTGTTCCAGCGACCTTTATAGTGAGTTTATATACATTTAAAAAAGTAATTTAGAGCTAATTTGATAGAAAAACCGACGCATAATGCAAGCTAACCATTTCAAAAGTCCCCATCCTAATAAATGCCTCACTATAACCCATAAAAATATGAATCGTTATTTAAAATTCGTTCCACCTAAATCATCTCTATCAAAGTCCAAGCTCGTAGAGCTAAAGCTGGAGCTGTTTTAGTTATTTTTGAATACCTTTGAGCAGGTTGTGTCTGTAGTGTGTGTGCACGGCAATGAAAACCCAACTTGCAACTCAATTATGCATGAGCTGTTTTATTTTTTATTATGATTTCATTGCTAATTAAAAATGCGCCGACACAAAAACCGAAGCGCGACCAGCAACAACAACGACCAAAATCTGCAGCGTTAAGCGACAGACAGACACAACGCGCATTTATTTGTTTAAAATGGCGTTTAATTATACAAACGTTTTTATATTTTGTACGTTTTTTTTGCTTTTTCTTATTTTCTGTTCGCTGTTAGTGCTGAGAGAGACCTCTCAAGTGTGTGTGCGTCGGTCGATTTGACTGCAAACGACCTTGACCATTGAATAAGTTTTTTCTTCTTCGTTTTATTTTTTTTTTTTTTTTTTTAGAGACCGAAAGCAAAGCAAAATGAGCAATAAATCGAAGAGATGGCAAAATGCTAAGCAAGCAGGCGACCAGATACATAGATACGCGAACAAAAGCGGCGTACTATCAGATACAATTGTGTACTGCTGCACCTGTCATCGCCAGAAAGCACAAAACACACAGAGAACGAAACAGGTAAGCCGCACAAATTTGCATTTACTTAAGAAATTAGTGAGCTACAAATGCGAAAATCAAGAAACTAAAGATCGATTTAAGCTAAGATGCGGCAGAACGAGTTTTCGAGCGTCGCAACGGGGGGAATCATTGAGAACCAGTTGCTTTTGCGCCTCGGCTTGGCATTTCAGTTTTTCAATTAATTCACTTAATGCTTTTCGATGTTTGTTTCTTGTTTTGTTTTTCAGCTATTTCGTTATTTGTTATTTTTTGTCGTTGTAGCTTCGATATTCGTAGAAGAATTCCAATTCGAGGCGAATGCTCAAAATGGCGTCCATCGAAGTCTAAACAAAAGTCAACGAATAATAAATGCGACAACTTGGCAATCAAATTTCAGTTGCAATTGCCTCTTGGCCCCAGAAAATCTCAGTCACTGAGCACGAAAGTCCCCCGATATTTTCGCAATTTTCGTGTCCTTGAACAAATTGCAACAAAAAGTCGCCACAGTTTAGAATTCCTTCGACGAGAAAAGGCCATTGATGCACTCAAGCCGAAAATGTGTTAATGGTGATGAATTGGAAACAGCTGCCGCCGTTGAGTAAAATGAAATGCACTCTCCAATCAGCCCAAGGACTCGCCTCGGTGGCGTCGGAATTATAATCATTTGAAATGCAAAAGTGGGTGGTAAGAAGGCGATATAGAGCACTCAAGCAGGTTGCCCACGGAGGCAGATATATATCTATCTACCAAGATTGGCCCCAATCACTGTGTGTGTGTGTGTGTGTATATAAATGGTCTTATCTAATTTCTAGGGAAAAACTTTAATACAAGAACGAATCATTCACCCTTTAGCTAGAGAGGAAGCCTGCCTCGGTGAAGCAACGTCAACAACAACAATTCCAATTGCTTTCCGACTTTATCATGGAGTTCATATATATGTGAACATATATATATATATATCTGTGGAACATAAGAGGGAAGGAAATATTCCATTTACCCACAACGGGTACTCATACTTGGCACACACATAGGGCCAACTTATCTCCCTGTCGGACTCACAGTTATCACTGGAGCGGAGACGACAGCGATAAGGTTTATTTTCGTTGCTTTTCGGTTTGTCGATAAGACACACTCAGAGCCGTAGCTAGGCGCAAAGGGGTTTCTTTTTAGACCAAATCAATCCAAGGGGGGTAAACTAACTGAGGAGTTATTATTAAAAAATAAGCTAGAAATGACATCAGAAGTTTTGGTGTTCGAGTTTCAGCTGGAGTCCCAAGGGGGACGACACGCGACCCGCATTCGATGCTGCCCCTTGATTTATGTTTTGTTGCTTAATTGAAAGGCCTGGGCGAGCAGTTCGTTCTAGGGCGCCACACAGAGAACACACATCAAAGCTCACGGGAACAGCGGCTTTTTTTCTTTATTTTGTTCACAGCCTCAACCGCTTTGCGGGGTTCTCAAATAACAAAACTGTCAGTTAGTTGTTGATGTTGATGGGGCCCAGCACTTAACGACGACACTCACTTGAACGAACGGTTGTGGGTTCCAAAATTGAAAGTTCTGACATAAAAAACACACACTTCCTTCGACGGCGACGGCGACGAGAGTGCGCGAGTACGTGAAAATCAAATACAACTAAATTCAAAAACTGAAAACAATTAAAAACGAAATGGGTTCCGAGGCGGCGGGCAGGCCAAAGTATCTGCGAGATTCAAACACTTGCTAGCCACAGAGAGAGAGAGAGGGAGAGAGAGGAGAGAGGAGAGAGGAGAGTGTGGAGAACAGAGAACCCAGAGAGGGATAGAGAGAGAGAGAGAGAGAGTAGGCAGAGAGAGTCAGCGTATCTGGTAGATACTTTATCTACAAACTGTCGAGTGCTCGTCGTTGTCGTCGTCGCTGGGTTTGCAAGTGTTTGCTCAGCCGTTTCCAGAGAGCTCCCCTCCTTGCCAGCATATAAATGTGTGTGTGTATTTATATTCTTATCAGTAAATAGTTTACGTTATGTGCTGCACTTTGCTCTTAATTGTTTTGTTTTTGTGTTTTCGATTCGCCAGTGCCGAGCCGCACTGCCTCTTGCCTCACCCCAGACGCCTTGACGCTGATAAAACTTCAACTGGCTTACTATTTAGAGTTTGGCCATTGCTGGGTTCCTCTAGTGGGAGCCACAAGTGTCTGGCGATAACCTCTTTCGAGGGCCCTAAGTCCCCGGCTCATTTGTTAGGATATCGCCTGACTTTGTTTGCTCATTTCGGGACTCATTTCGGACTCATTTATCGTCTTTTCATAGGCTTAGAATCTGCTGACAGCAGAGGGTTTCCCTCCCTTTCTCTCTCTCTCTCTGTATATCTCTTAGTTTGTTTGTGTTGTATCTTTATCTCTCTACGCGTTCTGACAAATATCATGTGCGATAAATCTTTGGCCTGCTAAAGGACGAGACGCACAGGCATCATCCTCGACTTTATGATGACAAAGGCTGATGGGCAATTTATCCTGACATTTCCGAAGCAACATTGACATTGCTAATCTGAAAACGTTTCATTTGTTTGGCCTGTCAGCGTGTTTGTGTGTGGAAAACACACACGTTTTCCCATGCTGGGAGAAAAAACAAAATTGAAAAATTATATGAACCCAAAGTAGGTGAGTAATGGACTCTCGACAAGTGAAAATCAGGGAGTGGGATGCAAAAAGGTGACTCATATGAGAACCGGACCTACTCGAGCCGTGACTGAATGCTGGATTTTAAAATGAGCCAAGTTTATGGCAGCCAACTGCTAATGATGAGCGCTGAGAACTTGATTTCAGCCAAGTCGCATATGCAATATAACTTAACCAAATAACACTTGTCGCAGCTCTATGTGTGTTCATCAATCAATCAACTGTGGTGTCATCCGATGAAACGATAAGTCAGTCATTTGGCCTTACATTTATAGACCACATATTGCATATCTTTTCCCTTTTAATCTAGACAGTCCTCATGGAACAATAAGCCTGGACAACAAAATCCCCCTAATCATGCCGGCCAACTCATGGCCCAAATCAAAAGCCGCAATGGAGCCATCCGAGTGCACACCAAACAATTGCCCCAAATTCATAATTGCAGCCAGCCCAAAATGGCTTGACAACCATACACATACCAATAGTTCCATCGGAGCAGGAAACGCCCACCCGGAAGGCAGGGAAAACCACCGAAAAATGGGAGCAACTAAAATAAAATCAAGCTAAACAATGGCAGGAGCAGGCTAAGTGCGGATAACTGGTCAGCTGAGCTCAGGTTCTGTTGATAACT